GTCACGGGCTCGACTGGAGCTACCTGGGAGCCACTGTGGACATGTGCAGTCCCAAGGTCACCCCCATCCCTGCTCCTCCTCTCAAGGTCTTCACTCATTCTGGGATTCCCACTTTCCACCAAGTGGCCTGGAGAGGTGCATCATCCCCCTAACCAGTCCTCCCTCAGGCCAGGCAGCAGGAAGCAGCAGTGGGAAGCAGCAGCAGTGGGCCCCTTGCCTTGCCCAGCCCCCACCCTGCTGCTCCAACGGGGGTCCCAGGCACCAGGCAGACCCCCCCCACCAATATCCCAGCCACCAGGTCCTTGCCCACCCATCGCTGCTTCCTGGATGGCCTCAGCTAACTCAGGCTGTTGCCCAAGAGGATGCTGACACCAAAGTGCTGGTTCCCTGGCCTGGGACCCACCACCACCACCGAGCACAGCTAGGAGGTAGCAACCAGGTGCCCCGCCCAGGCCCCACCCTCCGTCAACCTGGAAGCCGTTTATCACTTGGACAGAGAACAGCCGTAACAGAACACTGAGGCCTTGATAGTTTTCAATCAAGCTTTTAATGAAAAGATCATAAAATAACAGTTTCTCATCGCTGTACATTAAGACTGCACACTTCTGAACGGAGAGATCAGTCACCGGTGAATCGCTTTTCTGACACTGGATGGCTGCGTGCCTGCAGCTCTGACCTGAATTTATCCAAACTCTTGAGGGAAGTGAACTCAGTGTGATGAGTGACAGTGGCAGTGGCCAGTGCAGGAGTGCGATCCCAGTATCCCTCCCCTCTTCCGAGAGGGCATAAAATAGGACATGATCCCTCTTCCAGTTCCAATTAAACAAAACAGCATAACCCCTCCCTCCCCCTCCCCCTCGAGGTATTTGCAAGAATGAGCCAGTGCCCAACCTGGGCCCCCCCAGGGAGTGGGGGGAAGCAAGTGTGGGTTGGGGACAGAGAGGCTCCCCTCAGCACCTGGCCCCACGGGGTCCCGCCAAGTGGAGGGGGGAGCCCTGGGGATCCTCCCTGCCCCAAGTGAGGTCTGTTATGCAGCATTTTTGAGGTCAATGAATTACAGCAATAAATAACAAGGTGAGGTAGGGGGAGGGGTTCCCAGTATAAAATCAAAGTGGGGTAACTGAAGCTGGGGCTTCCGAGGAAGGGGGTCCAGGCAGCCTCAATTCCCACACACCCACCCCCAGCTTGGAATGTCAGACTGAGGCTCCAGTTAGGTCCCCCCATCCCCTAACTCCCAGCATCTGATTCACAGGTTCAAGGTCTGCCCCAACATGATTCTGGGGAATAGGAGGACCCTGGTCCCTTTGGGGGGCATGGCAGGGCAGAGAGAGCCCTTGTCTGCTCTTCTAAGGCCTGGCGCCTTTGGCTTTTGTCCCCCAAGCCTGGGGGCTGGACGGATGCAGCCTCCCACTCCCTGAGCCCTGCCCCGAGGCTGCCCAGGCCCCACCCCACTCAGGACGGCACCGGGGCAGGTGGGGTCTGCCTGCCCACGGCCCAGCCCGGATTGCACTCCTGCACGGGCGGAGGACCAGTGAATACTGACAGGCGGGGGAGCGGGCTGGCGGCCCGGCGCCCCCAAGTGGTGCTGAATGGGAAACACACACGGCTGCGTGAGGCCGGGGAGGTCAGCGTGGGTCCGGATTGTTCTTGTTCGTTTCACAGGCTGAGGTGTATGGCTATGCTGTGAGTCTCTGAGATTCTTATATGCTTAAAGGTTCTTTTCTTTTTTTCCTTTTTTGCAATCCTGGAGGAGCCCTTGCCAGGGCTCGGTCGGGTGGGAGCATGCGGTGGCGGAGCCCAGCCTGCCGCTCGCTCGCCCCAAGTCTGAGAAATAAATACATTCATCACTGCACAAACGTATTGATACAAAAACAACACTGTTAAGAGTGTTTGCACCATCTGTGTTGGTAAGAACCAGGCCCAGTCAGCCCCTTCCGCTGCCTGGGGTGGGGTTGGAGATGGGGGGTCCCCTGGGGGTGGGGGCCCACCGGAGTCGCCTGAGCTGTGCAAAGGTCCCGGCTTTTTGGCTTGAGTGGGACCCTCACATCAACCCACCCCGAGGGTCACGGGCAGAGCAGCAGGGGACCCAAGCCCAGACTCGGGTCCTGTGGCCAGAACTGACAGCCACCCCCGGTACGCCAGCTGGCCAGGACCTCCATGGTCCAGCCAGGAGGCCTTGGGGGCTGGTCAGCACAGGCCCACGCTCTTTGGTGCCAGCTGGGCTTGGAGAGGCCCTGGGAATGGGGACGAGGGCTCAGGTGAACCCAGTGAGGCTTCCAGCCCCTTCCCCAGCCCCCAGGGCTGCCTCTGCCTGCGAGCCGCTCCAGGGCAATGCGGAAGGGCACCCGGCGGAAAGCGAGGCTTCCCTGGGACTGGCCTTACAGCTGCTGAGGTCTGAGACTGTAAAAGCTTATGTAAACAATGAGATAAATATATTAGTATCTTTTTCTGAGCCCACTGAGGTTCCATACTCATTCAAAATGTGCTTTGGTTTAAAAAATAGGTTTTGTGAATTTGGGTATGAGCTTTTTTTTTCTTTTTTCTTTCTTTGTTTATCCTCTTTCCTACACATGACATCTGCTATTTTCTGTTTCCTGTTTCTCCGAAACATTCAGGAATTAAGTGACTAAAGCAGAGAACTGTAAGCCGCCTTGGACTCTGAGGGTCCAATTTTCTTGTCAGGCTCTTAACATCACACACACACTCGCAAGCACACGCTCGACACGGAATCAAAGGAAAAGAAAACAAAACCAAGTGTTGTGTTAACCCCACCCCACCCCACAAACCCTTAAAATCTTAAATAGGAAACTAGTGTTTTGCTTTCTCATTAAAATACAGAAAAGGCTCGATACAATACTAAGGTGGGTACAATACTATGTCGCACAAACGTCATTGAGTGAGGGGGCCTTTGCTCCCAGTCCCTGAAGTTCTGCAAAGGAATCACCTACTTTCACGAGTCACCTCACGGATGTGGCTGCCCACGGCCCGGGAGGCCATGCACGCAGCCGGGTGTGTGTACAGTTACCGTGCGGTACAGACTTTGTGTCGTGTGGCTTAAGTGCTGACGGAGTGGGGTGGGGTCAGGACAGCAGGGGCCTGGAGCACCCTGCCCCCTCACTGACGGGGTGCAGCCCCGGGGGCTCCTCCGCCAGGTCCCCAGCCTGACTTGCTGGAACTCGAGACCCAGAGTCCAGCTCTCTGTTTCCCACCCAAAGGGAAGAGGGGCCACCTCAGGGCTGAGGTCACCATAGGCGGGGCTCAGCCAAGAGCCCTAGTGTGGCCTGAGCTTCCTCACTCCCAAAACACGCCGCTCACCACTCGGGTCCCTGAACTCAGCTGGAGGATCTCCTGAAGGGGTCTCTTAGGGGATGACTCTGGAATTTTTTGGTCTAAACTTAAAATAGAATGAAAAACAAAAGAAAACATGAAGCAAAATGAAGAGGATAAAGCCTGCTGGCCCAGCCCTGGGGCTCCAGTTGGCCGAGGACAGCAGGACCGGGCACGGCGACTTCGGTCTGGCCTTGTGAGCCCGGATCAGGGCCCACAGAGGTGAGAGAGGCTGGCTGAGAGACCCCAAGGTGAGGAGCGAGGGGTGGGACCCTGAGCCCACAGGTGGTGCCCAGCCTCTCGCCAGAGTGGCCAAGGGCCAGGGCTGCTCAGAGAGGTGCCAACCCTGTTCCCCAGATGGTATGTGGCCCTGGGTGGCTCCTCCCCACCTCTCACTGGCCAGGAGGGGGCTGATGCCCTCCCAAGCTCAACCTCTTGCAGGCATGGGGCAGGGGGTGGGTAGGATGGGGGGGGGCTCACTTCCACCTCATCCTGGCCCTGGCAGGGAGCGGCAAACAGCTGCCCCCTCCTTGTCCTCAGTGCCTGGCACCTGGCCCCACGTCGGGGGCTCACGCCCCTCACTTGTGCCCAGAGGCTCACATGGAGAATGGACAAATGGTGCTGGGGCCCAAAAGGGCTGCCCAGGCTGGCCCAAGCCCGGCCCACTCCCACACATGGCTTCCTGGGCAGGTGAACAGGAAGAAAACTGCCAGTCACCAACGTATTGTTGTCACGAATTCAAGAGGTAGCAAAAAGGTCAGACGTCTCTCCACCTTGTTCAGTGAGGAAGGAGGGAAAGTGAAACATCTGTCCACACGTACGGCACACACCACACACACACACACACACAAACACACGCGCACGCACACACACACGGAAATGGAAATGAGAGTACCGATGGCCGTGGCACCGAGCCAGCCTCCTCCACCCCCCGGAACCCCAGACCTTCCAGTTCAAACAGTCACAGAAACGTTACACTGGTTTTCCTCTTAATAAAAAACAAGTACCTCTAAACAAAGAATATTCCTTGGAAACTACAGGAAAAGCACTCTCTCCTGAGGCAGCCGAGGCAGAGCTCGGGGACCAGGGAAGCCTTTGGGCAAGAAGGGCCTCTGGGGCCTGGAGAGGCGGCTTGGTGAACGCCACATGGCACCAGGGCCAGGGGACGCACAGGAGGCACGGCTGCCCCATTACATTCAGTCTGCAGACCCAGGCTCAGCCTCAGAGGAGCCAGGAAGAAAATAAACTATTGTTTGTTTTGGTTTAAAAAACAAAAATCAAAAAGAAAAAGAAGAAACAGGTCAGTAGGAATAACAGCAACACAGGCCCAGAGGGCTCTTTAGTTGTAGAGAGGTAGGCGGTGGGGTCACCCTGACTGTCCCAGCGCCAGCGAGCAGCGCCGCCCTGGCTCAAGGGGGGCAAGATCTGCCCCCCCAGCACCTGCTCCCGGCAGAACCAGGGTCACACGCGCCCACACACAGACACAACACAAGCACACGTACACGCACACAGACACTGCCCCGGCCGCAGGCAGCCCTGGCCCTCGCCAGCTTGGACGGCCCTGCTACCCCTTCTCCAAGCCAACCTGCAGCAAAGGGACCAGGTCCCAGAGACCCATGTGACCCACGCCCATAGGCCCCGCAGCGGCCCTCGAGGGAGGCAGGGGCCTGGGTGGGATGGGGAGGTAGTCGGGCCGGGCCCGCTGGCTTCCCTCCTCTCGGCTTCACTTGGTACAGACTGTCGATTAAAGCTCTGGGTGTGGGCAGGCCGGGCTGGAGGGGCTGCCGCAAGCCCCTGCTGGACCCAGGGGTGCGCCTCCTTGCGGGGGTTCCCGAGGCGCGAGTCTGCAGAGGGCGCCCGCGGGTCTTTGGCTTCTAGGAGGGGGAGGTGTGCATGCGCAGGTGGCTGATGAGGTTGCGCTGCTGGGTGAACTTGCCCCCGCAGAGGTGGCACTCATAGGGCTTCTCGCCTGAGTGCACACGCATGTGCTCAGTGAGGCGGTACTGGCGCGTGAAGCGCATGCCGCACTCGTCGCAGGCGAAGGGCTTCAGGTCCAGGTGGCTCCGCATGTGGCGCGTCATGGTGCCGCGCTGCGTGAACATCTTGCCGCAAATGTTGCAGGGGAAGGGCCTCATCAGCCAGTGCGTCTTCTCGTGCTGCCGCATCGTGGCCGGGTCCTTGTAGGTCTTCTCACAGACCGAGCACTTGAAGGGCCGGGGCTCGGCCGCGCTGGGCGCCGACAGGTCCTCGGCTTCCTCCTCGGCACCCCCGCTGCCAGTCTCGTAGGCTCCCTCCTCCTTGATGAACAGCTCCTCCTCCGTGTGCGTCTCCACGTGCGCGTTGAGCTGCTCAGAGCTAGGGAAGCCCTTGGCGCAAGGTATGCACACGTACAGGTTGTCCCCGTAGGGCACTGTCTCATAGCCCTCCTGCCAGAAGAGGTAGTGGGCACCAGCATGGCCGCTGCCCCCCTCGTTCCCACTCTGCCCGCTGTCCTCGCTGCCATCCTTGCCGTTCTCCTCCTCCTCCTTGCAGGGGTACGGGGGCTCCCCATAGGGCCCACTGGGGCCACTCCCACTGGCCAGGATGCCATTGGGAACCCTGTCCCCGAGCCCCTCGCCCTCCTCCCCTGGGCAGGGGCCCTTGGGCCCCACTTCTCTTCGCTCAAAGGGGGAGCCAGCCGCGGGCTCCTTCTTGCTCCACTCCTTCTTGGGGGCCGAGGGCCAGAGGCTCTTCCGAGGCTGCCCACCAGGCCCCTCCAGCAGGCTGAGATGGCTGTCCTCAGCCCCCTCCAGATCCATGGGCTCATCGGGGGTGCCCCCCAGCTCGGCATAAGAGGCACTGTTGGCAACGGGAGGGGCAGAAGCTGAGGGGGGTGAGCCGTGCTGACTGTCGCTCAGCTGGGCTGGGTCATCAGGGGTGAGGTGGGGCCCGGGGGTGGCGGGAGGCAGGGGTGGGCTTTTCTTGGACAGGTCCAGGCCCAGCTCTTGCTCACAGTCCCCACTGCTCCCGTTGGTGCTGCTGCTGCAGCCCCCGAGGCCTGTTTCCCCACCAGCTGGGCAGACAGCCAGGCCCAGGCCGTGCACGCTCTCCTGGTTAGAGCCACCCAGGAAGAGCTCCTCATCTGAACCTTTGGCCTGGGGGTGCTCCTGGGCGGCGTGGGCCCCCTTGCGCCCGTCCACGAGCCCAGGATACCGAGCCTGGATGACGGAGGCCGTGGATAGCCGCTGGCTGCGGGGAGGCCGCCCCATGCCAGTGGCCCCGACCCGCCCAGAGCCGAAGGGCTTACCGGCCCGCTTGAGTTTGCGACGGCAGAGGGCTGCCAAGTCAGGCAGCTGGAGGTAGCTGGCGGCAGTGAGGAGAGTGCTGAAGTTGGGCTCGGCTGGCTGGTCACTGGGCAGCAGCTTGCCCGTGTAGATGAAGTCCAGGATCTGCTGGAACACTGTGGAGCTGACCATGTCTGTGTCCAGGTTGATGAGGTTGTCATGCAGGACCAGGGACTTGAAGTAGATGCTGCTGGCGGCCAGGATGTTCTTGTGGGCCCGGAAGATGGAGTTTTCCACCATGATGATGACATCGCACAGGAAGCCCTTGGTCCTCTGCTGGTTCAGCTGCAGCAGGAGCTGCTTCGAGTGGCTGGGCAGCTCCATCTCAGGCCCCATGTCCCTGCGCCCTGCCCACGCGCACCACCTGTGGGCAAACAGGCACACACATATTAGATGACTGAACACGGTGGGGCTCAGTGTGGCACTCAGAGGGGCCTCAGCACTGACCCGGCACCTGACCCCCACACATAGCTCCACCCCTCAGGCGCAGCGCACAGGGAGGAACTCACACTGCCTGCCGTGTGCAGGTGCCGAACGTGCGTCACCTCACCAAGGACTTGAGCTGCCCTCGCCCCACTTGCATGCATGAGAAAATGGAGGCCGGAGGCCAGGAAGCTGCCAAGTAGAGAGACTGGGATTTGCACTTGACCTCACAGCCCAGGCTGCTGTCTCACACTAAAGGAAATTGATCACACACCCACAGGGACCAGCAGGAAACCCCAAAATGACCAACAGATGGCTATAAAATCCAGGGAGCAGGAGCCCCCTCGGTGAGCTGACCACTCCTGCCTGGCGCCAGCCCCACGGGGCCGAACTCCCCAGCTTTCAAGATAACTAGAAATCTAGACTTTCATGTGAATCTCCCAATGCTAAATGAAGGCTCCTGTTTAAAATACTGTGTGGCCCAAATCAAACATCTGCTAGCCTCTGCTCTGTGATGGCATGCCGCGCAGACAACCTGAGGGGCTGCCTAAACTTTAGCATTTGCCAGAAGTCGTGCTGCTGCTTCCCAGATGCCGCCTCCCCACACCCGCTCCTCACCGCTGCCCACCCCAACCCGAGGCCTCCACCTTTGGGCCAGCACTAATCTCCAGCCTGGGCCTCCAGGTGCCAGTGGGGAAGGTGGCCTCGCCAAGCCCGACACCACCTGGGCCCTGTGTCCTTTTGAGGAAGGACAACACCATCCTTCCTGCACCTGGGAAAGATGGCCAGTGGGCCTCCGCCAGACTGGCACAGACACTAACTAAGGGCATTAAGTAATAAACTCGCAGATCGCTAGTCTCCCAGGAGCCCTGCAAGCTCACTGGCATAGCAGAGTGCATGTGGGACTCCAAGGGCGGGCTCCTCCTGACCACACCCCATACCCCCACTGAGCAGCACTCCCTGCCAAGTACCAGGGCAACCTCATTCTCGGTGGGGAGAGCAAGGACAGGGTAGCCCTGATGGACCCCAAGGGAGGAGGGAAACGCAAGAGAAGAGGGAAGGACTGCGGCCAGCGATGCCCAGGATGGTGCTCAGAGCCTCCTCAGCCGCAAGCCCAGCTCAACTACAGGAAACAGCACCCAGCTCCATCTGTACCCCTGCCAGAGCCTCAGAGAACGGCTCAGCAGAGGAGGGCACTGAGTCCAGGGCTGGGAAAAGCAGGTGGTGTCCAGGTGGCCACCTGTGCCCAGTCTGGCCCCACAGGATTCCACAAGGCAGGCCAGTGGAGACAGGAACTATCCTCACTGACTCATGGCTGCCGGCCGCTGAGTAGCAGGGCCACAGCAGCTCTGCTCCCCCGCAGTTCAGGGTCTCTGTAAATAGCTCGGCTGCCCTTTGCCTTGTCACCACCAGGGCCTCCTGCCCCTCCCAGAGCAGCCAGCCCTGCCTCCCATGGGGACCCACCCTGCCCTCTCTTCCCAGGACAGAAACACTCTCCCCAGCCCCACACCTGTCCCTGTTTGCAAAGACAGAGGGAAACCCTAATGACCAGATACCCCAAAAGTTTCAGAGCTCACTGTGAAGACACCAGGGTGCCACCTGGCTGCGGATGCTAGCTCTCAGCACCTGTAGGGGGGTGCTCAGAGGTCGGAGACTTTGGGAACCCATCTTCTTCCACTCCCCCCCACAACAGCCAGCCTGGCAGGGACACAGAGTCCAAGGCGTGGCTTCCACACTGGGCCCCAGACACCCAGCCCCAGGGAAACGCCAGTGCCGGCTCTGCCAGAGCCCAGGACGCCTGGTGCTCAGAGCCTGGCAAGAGGATGGGCAAATGGCAGTGGCACTCTCCACACCACCCAGCGCTATGCGCACACAAAGGACTGCAGACGAGGATGAGAGGGAGGAAAAGGGCTGTGGGGCTGTGTGCACCACGTAGGAAGCCCAGGGAAGAAGGTGCAAACAGTGGTCCCCTCTTCCCCACACCTCCCCCTGGGCCTACCGGAGTGACAGGGGCCCAGACACCATGTGAGCAGCAGCCAGCGGGGACGGCCTCCTTGAGCACGTGGCCTTCCTGGCGGTGCATCAATGCCTGGTCACCTGGGGAGGAGAAGACAGATGTGGTCACCCAGACAGGCCTCAGGGAGGGATAGAAGGAAGGATGATGAAGGGAGGACCTGGGGCCCTCATTCCCAGAAAGGCCTAACACCTAGGCACAGCCCTGCAGAGACAGTGGCCACAGTGCCCCAAAGATGGCAGGGAAGGAAGAGTGAAGACCCCAGGAACGGGTCTGGGGAGCTTGGTGGGCACTAAACCTCCCCCCTCAACACACACACACACAAGAGATTTAGGACACTCCAGGGGCCACCTAGGCCTGGGGGCGCTGGTGGCAGGCACACAATTCCTGGCAGGCAGGCAGGCAGCGGCAGGACGCTTGGGCAAGGACCTTCCCAGCCTGGCCAAATTTACATAACAAAAGGTCAAAATTGGAGCCACTTGTGCAAGGGCTATTTATAAGAACCAGTCTCAACCGCTTCTGGCTCCGCTGCTTCTGTCCCTCCAGGATCTGCTCTCACCCCTCCCACCCTAGAGTGCCCAGCCCCCTCCAGCCCAGCCCTGGCCTGACCACATGGCCTCCTCTCTCTGGAGGTTTCACGGCCTAAGGGCTCGCCCAAGCTGCAGGCCTGGCCTTTCAACACCAACCCACCAAAGCTGCTGGCAGCTGCCGCCAGATGAGGGCGGGTTCCCTCTCTCCCACAGCTGTGGGCCTTGCAGGAGGAGAGGCCTGAGGTTCTGGGTCCCTGCACCCAACACAGGCCAGCCTGAGCTCCCCTGGAATGGAGCCAGGGGTGGGGAAGGGGCCTGCAGCAGCCGGGAGCCCATTCCTGCCTGCCCTTCCCCCACCCCGCCCCCTACCCCGGGGCCAGGGAGGCTCAGCAGGTCCCTCAGGCCTGTGGCCGGGAGGCCGGGAGGCCTCTGCTTCAGCCTGCCAGCTGTCTCTCCAGCCCCTAGAGCAGCTCCCCTCTTGGGGGGGGACTGAGGGGAGGGGCAGACGGTTGGCCCAGGATCCCACCAAAGGCCCAGAGGGCAGCAGAACCAACTCTGTAGGTACAGAAGCCTAAGAGCGTCCATGTTTAGTGAGGGCTGAGCCTGGGCCCCTTGCTCAGGTCTGCCAAAGCCAGGCTGGGGCCAGGGACGGCTCTGTCAGTTTTAGAAGGGGAGCAGAGATCACTGAAACACTGGCGAGAGCAGCCAGAAGACTGGCCAGGAAGTCACGGTGGCACAGCACACTGGAACTAACCAGACACCCACCGCGAAGCCCTGTGCCACCCCACCCACTCTTCAACCAGAGCCTCTCAGAGCACTGGCCAGAGGGTCACCTGCCCTTGTCCGAGACATCAGGCCAGCCACTGGACACTGTGCAAGGAGTGGGTGGCAGAATAGGACTCCGGGGCACCTGAGCACCACAGGGCTGGAAACGCCTTCGATGGGTACTCACTGCCTGGCCCTGCCAGGCACTTCACCAGCCCAGGTGAGGACCAAAGTCTCCCAGCCAAGGAGGGGTGGGCCCCGGGTTGGATAAGACGTGACACTTGGCAGGACAGGATAGGGCTGGCTTCCCTGCACCCTGCCTACCAGCCACACCCAGGCTCGGCTGAGTCTGGGCTGCCACTGTGTCTGCAAGTGGTGATGGATCCTCACCCCATGAGAGGGGTCCCCACGCCACCCTGCTGAGGACCCCTATGGAGCACTGCGCTCTCTTCCCAACCCAAATGAAGACAACCAGAGAACTCTGCCCTGCCCACTCGCTGCCAGGCAGGACAGCAGCAAGCACCTACACTGGAGAGGCCCTAGCCTGGGGGAGTGCCAGGTAACCAGAAACATGGCTCTGGGGCTGGCCCAGGAAGCTGGATCCAGGGGAGGGTGCCCAGCCCTGGCAGGAGCTAACTGCAGGCTGGGATGAGGACATTGCCTGGCACCTAGCAGCCCCTGGCAGCAGGCCCAGGCGGTGTGCCTATCAGCCCCAAGGGCAGCACGCCTGGCCCTGGCCTACCCTGCCCAGAGTGCTGGCTTGCAGGATACCTAGGATCTGGGGCAGTGGGGCAGCAGGCCTGGGTTAGCAGGGCCATCTGGGTCCTCCTCTAAGGCTGCAACCTGGCCTCTCTCTGGCACAGAGCCTTCAGGGGCTCGGGGAGGGGCAGGAAGGGTGGCACAGAAACTGCCTCCCTAGTTAGGATTCCTCAGCTGCAGGCTTCCCCTGTGGGTGAGAGAGCTCCCACCGGCTGACCCCAGCAGGGTAGGGCAGGAACCAGCCAGTGGGGGACAGCCAGCTCTCTATAAGGTGTGGTGGAAGGAACAAGATGATTCTGGGTTACCCCCCAGGCCCTGCCTGAGACCTCAGACACATGACCTTGTTTAGGGAAATGGTCAACAACCACCTGCCCTCCTTTTGCCCCTCCTGGTTCTAGAGAGGCACGTCCTCTACCCCCTGCTGAGCCGCTGAGGACAGGCCCAGGGCCAACAAGGGCTGGAGCAGCACATTCACAGCCTTTCAAGGGAAGGCCAGGCCGCAGAGCTGGGCTGGCCGGAGCCCCATGCCTCCCCACCAGCTGCACCTTCCTTGTCCACCCCCACTAACGCAAGGCAGCCCTGACCCCACCGGACGCAGCAGGCCCATCCTGTGAAAAGAAACTCCTTGGGGGCAGCACACCCAGCTGCTAAATGAGGTTATCTCTGAGGGTGGGATTATAGAAAAACCACAGTGTCTGTAGGTTCATTTCTGTAATACTCAGAATTTTAAACATTTATGCATTACTTTTTAAATCCTTTAAAAAAATAAGAGCAGAAATGATGCAGGGACCCGGATGAATCTCCCAGTCACCACGGTTAATGGAAGAAAGCTCACGTCAAACTGCATGACTCCACTTACATCAATTCTAGAAAAGGTCAAAGTGACCCAGGGTAAAACCCAAATCAGGAGAGACTGGGGGGGTGAGGTGAGGACTGTCTGCGATGGAGCAGGAGGAACTTTCTGGAGTGAGGGCAGCTCTCCATCTTGCTGGGAGTCTGGGTTAAGGTGGATGTACTCGTAAAAGCTCAGTAAGGGCTGCACTGAAGACCTGGGCACGTCATTGTATGTAAATGTCACCTCCATAAAACAGACCTCCAAATGGAGGCTTTCACAGGACACCCCACCTCAGGAGCTCAGCACCCTGGCTCCTCTTTCCTCCTGGAAACACCACCAGCTAACATCTCCTGGGTGCTGCTGCATGCCCGGCCACCTGCCCTTCCATGTGCTGTGTCATTTTTTTTTTTTTTTGAGACAGAGTCTTGCTCTGTCACCTGGGCTAGAGTGCCGTGGCGCCAGCCTAGCTCACAGCAACCTCAAACTCCTGGGCTCAAGCGATCCTGCTGCCTCAGCCTCCTGAGTAGCTGGGACTACAGGTGCATCACTATGCCCAGCTAATTTTTTCTATTTTTAGTAGAGATGGGGGGGTCTCACTTTTGCTCAGGCTGGTCTCGAACTCCTGATCTCAAGCAATTCCTCCTGCCTCGGCCTCCCAGAGTACTAGGATTCCAGGCGTGAGCCACTGCTCAAGCCTGGCCTTGCTGCGTCATTTGACCCTCAGGGCCACCCAGGAGCCACGTGCTCATCTTCACGCAGTACTGCTGGGCCTCTACCCAGCACCTACCCCCACCTCCCACCTCCCCTCGAGGTAGGGAGACCCAGGGCCCACAGAGTGGAGGGATGTCGTCTTTGGCTGTGGACACAGGAACCCTTGCCCACTGACGGCCCACAGACCACCCAGGGGTTCTGGTTCAGCCTCAGTTTCCCAGATGGCACTGAGCCCAAGGGCAGAGCAGCCTCAGTGAGACCAGACCCAACTAACTCTCCCTGCTCCTCCCTGGCTGGGCGGCCCTGAGCACGTCTCCAGAGGGCAGTCCAAGCCCACACCGAGGACTCCCTTCAGGTCCCCTCCCTTGTGTACCCCCAATCGCTCCATCCGCCGCCCCAACACACACCAGCAAAATGGCCAAAGGGGATGGCAGAGGGGAGGACCTGGGCTTCCTGCACCCTTTGCACTCCTCGCTGCTACCTGACCTCGGAGCAGTACGCCCTGGGGCCCATTGGCCCAGGGTGCCATGAGTGCAGAGGCTCCACTCGCCTCAGGATGAATGCTCTGTCAGCCCACATAGACTAGGGGGCTCACGGGGAAGGCTGGAACGGGGTCACCAAGGCCTCTCTTCCTAGCTCCACGCAAAGGGCAGGAGAGCACCTTTGGCCAGAATCTTTCAAAGGTCATGAGAGGAGGTTTTAAGATGAGAGTGATCTCTGCTTAGGCAGAAAGCTGAGAACTACACCTGCCATCCTGACACGCGCTGCCCAGCTTGGCCTGGACATCCACGCTGCCCAGAGCCTTGGCCTCCAGGAGGCCGGGAACTCAGAAAGGCTCTGGTTACTGGGTCTCTGTGTGGTTCCCTCTGGGGGTCAGGCTGGCAGCCCTGCCTCCAGCAGACAGGAGCAAAGCCCATACCCACCCCCAGGCCTACGGGTGGGGGCCAAACTCGTGACTTCAGGCAATGAGTCAGTCCCGACCCCTGTGGGCAGGAACCGGCCCTCCTTGGAGGCCACCCTGACACCTGGACTGCAACTCCTTCCGGCCCACGCCCAGCCAGGATGGAGGCCTAGAAAGAAAGGTGAAGACCAGCGAAAGGGGCCCTCCCCAGCCAGCCCTCCTGGGAACCTTCTCATCCACCTCTTTCCCCGGCGGCCATCCCTCACTTCCCCAGGAGGGGCTTCCTGCAGGAGGCCTGGAGCTCTGCTGGGGACTGGCGAGAAGCTCCTGCCCAGCCCACCCCAAGGCACCCAAGATGGCTTCTTTCACCTTAACCACCTCCGGAAAAAGAAAGGAACGCCTCGCCAGAAGTAACACAGTGCAACGGGAACCCTCCAGCAGGGACATCCACGGCCCGCCCCGAGTGCTACTGCCAGGTGGGAGGGACAAGCTGTGCCAGGCAGAGCAGCAGTGCTGGGCAGGGCACGGCCACCAGGCAATATCCACATGCAAGGGTTAAACACATGTGATCAGTGTCAGAGAGGGCAGACATGCTGCTGCTACCCCCAAACCTGA